CAAATTGCTTAACTTCTTCCGGTGTAAGCTCCTCGGGCGTGGTCTTGGAGATACTCAGCTTCTTTAGACGTCTAAACATGATGTCATTGAAGCTCCGTTTTCCTTCTTTGTTTGGTGGACATAACCGGTTCAGTAGAGCCTTATCTGATTGGGTTGCCTCGTGGAAAATCCGAGTATCAATGGCAGCAGCCAGAAGATTGTTTGCAGCTGTTATTGCATGAATATCTCCCGTCATGTGAAGATTAAACTCATCCATTGGTATCACCTGACTGTAACCACCACCTGCTGCACCCCCTTTGATTCCAAAAGTTGGTCCTTGTGATGGCTGACGAAGGCAAGTAACAACCTAAGTCACAAAGGGGAGAATACAGGATCAGGGCCATACAAACTACTACTGAGATATATAGCCGTCAACTGTGAAATAAAATCTATTTAAGTCTTCATAACAATATAAAATTGCATTAGCAACAATTAATACAAAAAATCTGCACAAGTCTACTTTTGCAGGACGTGCTGTGGTTTTAAGTCTTCCATAAAAACTGCAAGAAAACTTTAACAACAAAGGAGATAATTACAAGACAACCTTGAAATACTTTGCTTTACATTTTGAAAACAAATTCTTTTCGGATGCAGTAAACAGGACTAAGGGCCAGGACCGCACCAAAACAGCTTGGTAACTTCTTGGTCAGAAGACTCAGCAAAAATACCTATGAGACTGTGTTAGATACCACGAAACTTTAACTTTTACCCACAGAAACAAGGGGAAAACAGAATGAACCAAATTTAAAGTTAAAAAAAAATGCATATAAAACATCATAAGCACAAGGGACAACCACAACAAATTTTCAGTTCCCTGAAACTACAATCTCTTTGTAACACATCTTGTTTTTAATGCTTGTCAGTGTATTACTCAGCGATACTTTCCTCACCAGTTAGACACTCCAACCTTAAGATTTAGCCCTAGTTTCTCGACACGACAAGCTAAGGCAACACCAAGTACAATCAATAACACAAAGCCAGAAATCAATGTAACCTCTGAATTAATTCTTTTTGTCCCTTTGTACCTCCACTCATACTTCAAGACTTCTCCCAACAAAAAGGCCAAAACTCAATTTAAATTGCTTGATTATTCAGTTAAATGTTGAAATCAACTTCCCAGAAAAGGAAAAATCAAAAGGGAAAACCAACGTATGCCCAAACTTTTCGATACCGAAAAAAGAACCAAACTTTAAACTGACAACAATAGAAAACTTCACCTTCTTATCCTGAAAAGCACCCAAAGCTTGACAGAGTCCAACAGTAGTGGTAGACTTGCCTTCTCCAAGAGGGGTAGGAGTAATCCCTCCAACCACCACATAATACCCATCTCCAGATCCTTTCAGCTCATCAATCACTGATAACAAAACCTACAAAAGAAACCCAACAAACCCAAATTTCAAAATCTTTCCATATCAATGAAGCAAATGAACATATTACACATACAAAACCGCTCGAGCGCTAACCGGTTAGTAACTAAACGAATCAAACGACCAACACTGATCTTGTATCTCCAAACAAATAAACCCAAATAATCAAATTTCAAAACTTTTCCATACCAATAAAGAAGATGAACATATTACACATACAGAAGTGCTCGAGCGCCAACCAGTTAATAAGTAAACGGATCAAATGACAAACCTTGGCCTTGTATCTCCCATAAAATACACCCAAATAATCAAATTTCAAAATTTTTATATATCAATGAAAATAAATGAACATATTATACATGCTCGAGCGCTAACTGGTTAGTAACTAAACGAATCAAACAACCAACCTTGGCTTTGTATTTCCCATAAAGATCGTAGTGGTCGGGACTGAGATTAAGCTCTTTTGCAATCTCAGAGATGTGGAAAGGCTCGACAGAGTTGGCAATGTCGATATCCGCCGGCACTGGCGACGCCACCTGCAGCTTCCTCGCCGTCTTGGATGAAGGACTCATCGTGGGGTCGGCGAAAACGTCAAATTCGGATTCTTGTTTGGTGGGCTTGATCTGAAATGTTTGGTTCTTTTTGCGCTCTGGTTTCGGCTGCTGACTGGTTGAAGATGAAGAGCAGCGAGCAGGTGGGTGCGCTTTTTAATACTACTCTTATCTGGGATTCCAGGATTCCGGGCTAAGGCGGTCTCTGGGCCGACAAACAAGCAGGATAATGTTTATCACGTGTGGTATCATGTTAAGATGAAATCTGAGCCGTTGGATTAGAATCTCAAAGCTTGATTGTCGGGACCCACCTGTTGTCTAAAGTGCAATCATGAGGGAGAGGATCCTCTCCGGACCCAAACCCACCGGATCCTCCTTCTTTCTTCTCTGCAGATTTTCATCACCCTCATCCATTTTTTTCAGCTGAAACACTATTTCCAATCATCCGATTCAAAACACAGCCTCTCTCTCTCTTGATTGTCGGGACCCACCTGTTGTCTAAAGTGCAATCATGAGGGAGAGGATCCTCTCCGGACCCAAACCCACCGGATCCTCCCCGGACCCAAACCCACCGGATCCTCCTTCTTTCTTCTCTGCAGATTTTCATCACCCTCATCCATTTTTTTCAGCTGAAACACTATTTCCAATCATCCGATTCAAAACACAGCCTCTCTCTCTCTCTCTCTCTCTCTCTCTCTCTCTCTCTCTCTCTCTATCTCTCTCTCTCTCTCTCTCTCTATATATATATATATATATATATATACATGGAGGATAAAAATGGAAGAAAAAGAACTGAAATCTTGAGTTAAAGAGATGAATAAACCCGAACGTATCAGCCATCATAGTTACTGAAAACATCAACGTTAACAAAAGACATAATTACGATTGTTATAGTAAGAGGCAAACTCACGTAAACTATTGTGAAATAAATTTGAAAAAAGCAAATAGATGAATCAGGGAACAATATGAATAGGTATGGGATACCTTATAATCAGGTTTAGTCTCTGAGTTTTCGGTGTATTTGGTTACGGGTTGTAATTAGTATAGAACTCTTGTACATTTTTATTCCAAGGCAAAATAATTTAGAAATCAGACTAGGATTGGAATGAATTGATAACTCATCATCTACGGTATATTTAAGGCAAAGTGAATGATTTTTTGTTTCGAGGAGACTAGATTGAGTAATCATCTTCACCTTTTAGTCAGACACAATTTATCGTTTCTCCGTTCAATATACCATCAATACAGTATGTTATTCAATTCAATTCTAAAAGCGAATTAGGCTTTTGTATTTTTAAAGGCATGAATTATATAAAATTAAGAAAATGCTACAAGTGAAATACAGGAATTATTCAGCAGATTGCATTTTATATGCGACTGAAAATTGCAATCTGATTCCTACAAAGCTGGAAAACCAAAAGCAGCGCAACATCCCCATCTCACATAGAGAGGGGAGCACAGGACTTAAAAACCCTGCCCAGCTGACAACAACATAACCAACAAAACTCAAAAACACAAACAACAGCTGAAGACACAGACATTAAAACAACATAAAACAATGTCAAACTAGTTGATAAGTCGATATTATACTATATATTTTACCATATTCTTAGTATTAATTTATTGGTTATTTTGGTAGAATTTTGATACTTTGTTATGTATTTTTAATGTAGGACATTCAACTTCCTCTGGAGCAAAAAGTAACCAAACGGATGAATTTTGGAGTAATTTCAATTGGAGGATGTTCGTGAGTCTTTCAAGATGTTTTTCTACCAAGCCGTTTGACCGTGGCGATGAAATTAAGGCCCAACGTGCAGCTTTCACAGATTGATGTTTCTGGACGTTTTGGGTATTTTGAAGTCAAGATGACATATTTTGGGGAAGATTCCTTAAGGATTTGTAGGGGACGTCTCCAGCTTTAAAAAGAGATATTTTGGGACCAAATCGGAGTCGGTCAAAAGACTAATTTTCTGAGAACTCCAAATTCTAGTTCAAATAGGAAACCTTTTATTTTCTGTTTTATCATTTAATTATGTTTCCTAGTTTTATTCTAAGACTTTTTCAAGGTAGGGTTTTATTTTGTATTAGTATAAATAAGATATTTAGCCATTAGGTTAGGGGGGAATGCACACATTACTTTGGAGAATTGCTTTTGACAATTCAAGTTTATTTTCAAGATATTTTCTATCCATATTTTTACTAATATTTTGTTTTATGGTTGTTCGTAACTAGTTTCGTTTGTTAGGGCGATGCCTTGAGTCTTAGCATGAATATGTAGTTTTTATTTAATTGCTTATGATATTATTCATGCATGCTTTGAATTATTAATTATTGTGCTTTAAACTGTCTCTATATCGTAATGCTTAGCTACCATTAGGATGTTTAGATAAGTAATCGGATGCAATTCGGTCAGAATACCACCGGGAATTGATTATTGCTTCTTGTGATTAATAGTTGTAATTTCATCTAGGATAAATACCACGTCTTAAGGGTTGCATGGTTTTTCAAAGGGTTTTCACAAAGCATAATGAGTCATGCATGTTTATATTTGATTTGAATACCACGGACAGATTGCATGTTTGATATATGTTTTAGCTTGAATACCATGAGTAGAATATGCATTAGGAAAACCTAACATTCAAAGTTGCATGGGTAATTCATAAGTAATTGGTAAATCTACATCGGATTGTTAAGGAGACGGCGAAACCTTAGGCTTTTACAATTTGGTTTTCAAAACATTTTCCTTTGTTTTCTTTACTTTGCTAATTTCTTTATTCATTTTAATTAAATTCGTTTTTATTATTTTTAAATTCAGAACCAACCTCTTCCAATCGTCTTCAAATAATTAATTAAGATTTGATGTTTACATAAATTATTCATTCAATCCTTACGGAAAACTATTTTGCATTTGATAATTACATAAATTATTCATTCAATCCTTACGGAAAACTACTTTGCTTGAGCTGCTATACTACGATAACCTTCTATTCTTACAAGTATTTTTAAGTGTTTTTATCCCTACTTTTACAGATGGTAAAATCCCTATCATTAGTCCCTCTCCTTCCTATAGTAAACACGGTCTTCTTCCTCGTCGTCCTTTGCCATGCCAAACGTATTCTTCACAGCCTTGGCAGTAGTCTGTGCCATGTTCTTCGCTTTCTCTCCTGTCTGCTGAAGGAACCCCTCCGACTTCTCCTTGGCGGCCCCAGCAGTGTCTTAGGCCTTTTGGCCCACCTCTGAGGCCTTCTCCTTGGTCACCTCCTTGCTCTGCCGTACCTTTGCCTTTGTAACTTCTCCCTTCTCTTGACCCTTGTCTCTAGTTGTTTTAGTTGCACCCCCTTGGCTGCCTGGGCCGTCTCGTGGGTATTGTCCTTCACTTCCTGGCCCTTCTGCCCAATTGTGTACATCACCTGGTTCGTCTTTTCCTAAATATTAAAAGAACGAACGTATATCAGTATCATTCAAAATGGATCAATATTATGTCAAAATCAGTTTTGATGATAATAATATGAATAAGATTATCGACGACGTATCAATAATTTTTACAACATAAGTAAAAAAGTGAAATGTGACACAATCGACACATTTTAAGGAGACCGACTTTGACTTTTCTATTAAGTTTCTCTCACTGCTACAGCGTGTACAAAAATTAAAAAATACTCAGGTTCGATGTGCTAATTGCTGGAGTACCAAAACCAATATATGTTATTTCAAACGTGGCTAAACTATCATGTCAGTGCATACATTGTGAAAGAGTATGTGTATATATATACCTGAGCTTGGCCCTTGGCTTCACCAGCTCTGTATGTCTGTCTGTGGGACGCCATTTTTGCTTTCAACACCGAGTGATATACGTAAATTCTCCGAGTAAAAACTGTAAGATTGCTCTTCTTCTTGTTCAAGTTGGTTAGGCTGGGAAAGGAATAGTGCATCCCTATATACTTTTTCAAGTATGCAGACCGAAAACGACACGCTTCTTGCTTTATAAGGCAGGCACTGACAGCAGTGTGTAATATCGATGACTCCATAACTTAGCCTACAACTTATTGACACGTGTTGATCCCCTTCAGACAGATACTACTGTTTACTTAAAACTTATATGGAAGTTGGCATGACTCTTTGTGCAAGAATACATTGTTATGAGCTTTCTTCTATACAACAACGGATTATTAAATTAAAATGTAACGTTACGGTAAAGTTCGTTACATAAGTTGTTTTTAATTTAAATATTGCCTGCGCTCAATTTATCATGTGTGACACGTTACAGCAAGATATTGTGTGCAATCAAAACATATAACAGTACCAGTATTGTATCCTTGTAATTGCATGTATAATAAGAAACACGAGTGATGAACTTGAATAATAACTTCATTGAGTAGGAATGAACACAATATAGATTGGCACCAAAGCAAACACATATACGGGGGGAGACTGTTGCTTCTATTTCTTTCTCTAATCTAAAAGCATACTTGGACGTTACAAATCATGATTAAAGTGATATGCGTGTATTGTCAGGGCCAGATCAGCCTCCGCAATTCAACAAATTTGGGTTCGTGTTTGATGACGTTTTTGGTTTTCTACTTTTAGTTGTTTGATAAAAGTAGCTAAGCCACCAACTGCTCCATTTGCATGAACTTCCAAAACCCTAGACCTCAATCCTAATTACCTTTCTAGAGACATATAATAGTGCCCAATGATGTAGCTAGGAATTATTCAGTGGGTGGGCTAAGCTAAAATTATTACCATAAAATCAAATTTTCAATTTTTTGTTGTCTACATAAAGTTATATAATAGTAAACTTGAAAGTAACAATTGAAGCAAGGAATTTATACTATGTTTTCTAAGCTTCTAGCCTCAAAACTTTCAGCTGAATAAAATAAGGAACCATTTGTAATATGAAAGTTTTAACTTAATTATTACTTTTAAATTATAATATTGGTTAAAGTGATGAGTTTATTTAACATTTATTAGCTCTTATTTACCTCAAAAACAGCCTTAAGATTCAAAATTTTCATTCCCTAAGTGGAATATGACAATTAAAAATTATAAAATAGCCAAAAGATTAATAAAAAAATAAGCTTAAAGAACCAAAACTCTCGCTATGCTATAGCCTAGGAGAGCCTTGTAATTGGCTCCGCCATTATTGATAGTGGCTTAGTTAGAAATAAACTCTTTATTAAAAAAATTAGTGTGACACGCACATGGTAGTGTAATGATATTATTTTATATGTTATCATATAAAAATAATTATACATAGAAAAAAAATAATTATATAATTAATATTTTATAAACTTAAAATGTACGTTAACAAATAAATACACATATTATACTACGAGTGAATTAATAACACCGATCGAGTTACCGTGCAAATGTCACACTAAATAATCTATGCGAAGAAGGGAAAGAAAAAAGAAGCAAGGCCCTTTGAAAGTCCTGTGCAGCCAAGTATATGCCGCGGACTAATTTATTATATAAGTACATATAATTAAGCATATGCGGTCAAGTAACAACCTCTCAGCTGATTGGCCTAAAAAAAGTCAAGAATTAGGAGGCGACTTATGGCCGCTGCTCTTCCTTTTCTCCTCCTATATATAGCAAATAATTGAGCAAATTGTATTCATTGCAAGCCTTCTCTCAAACTTTTCTTCAACTACTTCATTAGATAAGAAAATTAAAAGAAAAGAAAATGGTGGTTGAGATCACTTCCTTGGCGTTGGTAAATAACACATTGATGAAGGTGGCTATGTTTGTGGTAGTTCAAGCTTTGGTTTATCTCATCCTTTCCAGTTCATCCAGACTCTTCTCCAAGAACAAATTGAGGTCATTCAACAGCTTTCAGCCCCTTCGTTCTGCTAGCATTAACCGGATTCTGGCTTTCATCTCCGACTTGCCAACAGGCAGTACTGCTGCTGATCAGCCATCACCACGTACATGATAATATTCAGTTCATTCTTTAATGTTACACATATAAGCTGTTGTAATATTCCACATGTAGCTCTGTAGTATATGGTCTTCTTTTGTTGGGTAATATCTGAAGTATCGTTATATATATGTTACCGTAATCCGGTGGAATTAATTCATAAGTCCAAAAAATCAACTAGCTATAGGTTTTCAAAAGGGAAATGGAGAGTTACACATATAAGCTGTTGTAATATTCCACATGTAGCTCGCATCGCATATATATAGTTATGTACATGTATAATTTGAATGATAAGAGATCCTAAAAAAGCTCCGTATATGCAAGTTTATTTTATGCTACCATTCTCAACCCTGAATAAAAAAGGAAAGAGAGTGCATTACGATAACCGGCACTCCGTTCTTCATGTCGAATGCCAATCATATGAATCCTAAGAGACCCTGAAAAGAACAAATTATTGATGAATGCTTGAAAAGAGGGCAAGAGTGAGCAGTGATTTCAAAGCCAACTCTTGATTGTGATCTAATTAAACTTGATAGAGTAATTAAAGTAGTTATCTTCATTCGATTTTGTTTATCCATCGGTACACAGCTGATTAAAGTTTCCCCATCAGTTCCGGTTACTTTAAAAGTACATCAAAACCCCATCATCTTTTCTTATTAGCCTTCTGGACCACTGTGTAGGTTAAATTAACTTAAAAATTTGTGACATGAACCATATATCATAGACAAAAGATTGAACTACAAGCCCAAACGCCATTAAGCCCCAAAAATAATAAGTTAATTTGGGGGTGTTTTGGGCAATTGGTGGCTCCCTTGCTTAATGCTTTGGTAAATCTCACTTCATAGAACAACACCAAAACATTATAACAAACTAATTATTTAAACTAGGTTCTTTATATAACTATATATTTACACGAATGGAATGTGGAAACAAATTGGTTGCGAACTCGTCGTTATTTTCGGGAAGAATATCACTAGAGCATAATACTAAATGACAATTATTTAGTTAAGATCCTTAACTAGTGAAACTATAACCAAATAAATGTATTAAAAAAATCACCACACGTATTTCTGTCTGGATAATACTTGAGTACTCACTGGTGAGTACTTACCTTTTGATTTTGTCCAATGATATTTTGAGACATGTTTTATTGTTTTAAAAATAATAGACATGTTATTGATTGTTCTTGGACTTTAAAAAACAAAAAACATGTGGCATTTTTTTATTGAGCCAAATCAGAAAGTGAGTACCTAGGTATTATCTTTTCTGTCTTTTTTTCCCCTAAACTACGAAGGCCATCCATATTTTATAATATATATAACATAATTAAAAGTCCATTTGGGCAATTTCTTCCTAGAGTTGCTAGAGATGGAGATGAAATCGTGAAATAACCAAAACCGTGAGAAACCACAAAGCAAACCACCATATGCAGAAAGTTCGACCCTATAGAGAAAATTAAGGAAGATTAGAACTTTGTCATTGATGCGGCGAGATATGTTTTACCACTGAAATTAGAAATCCAATTTCAATTATTTTGATTTCATGAACAGATCATTCATTCATATATTAAGAAACATTGACATCCAGTGGTTATCAGTAATAAGTGATTGCTACTATGATCAATCCTTCGTCCAAAACAACTAAATTAAAACATGAAAGAACAAACTTAACAAGCACATCGATAGACCCGCAACGGACTGACGGCGGCCCTTGTTACAAGAACGTGGCATGAAATGGTCCAATTTCGATTATATTAAGTTAAAAAAATCTTATAATGGCACATCTTAAACATTGATTTAATGGATGTATGTCGTTTTCTTATCCTTCGTAAATTATGATACACAAAAGGCTACAATGTCGTATTGAAATCTCTAGCCTTCAACCCTAACTGCCAACTGGTCCTCCACCATTGGCTTAGGACCCCCAATGTGGAGATATAAAATAGTATACATTATATCTTTACATAAATAGCTACCATTAGCACAAAGAAACATGCAAAAAAGTTCAAAAAATTACTTTGTTCAATCACCTTGACTTCTTCAAATGCCGTTGTCGATCGTTTGCCGGTGTTTGTGACACCAGACATGGAACACAACAACTTTACAGGGATGCGTTTTATGTGGTATCCAAGGATAAATAAAGATTACATTATTTACAAGAGAAATGCTAGGACACTCTCTCAAAAATTCTATAAATTTTCTGTCATCTCGTATTTTTGGCACAATGATTATAATGTTGGTAAAAAAGTTGACGTTAAATTGTGAGGTGAAAGAGAGTCAATAAAGAGTCTCACTTTGAGAGAGCCTCCTTAACATTTCTCTTATTTACAATGTAGGGAAACTTCTTGGTGATCATTAAATCATGACATTTTGTTGATGACGAGAAATGATATATTAAAAAAATGTAAAAAAAATAGGATGTCGTGCATTACTTTACTAAGTTATACTGATGAATTTCACATTGTTACATTAAATTGCTTAAATGGACCAGTGATCCTTGTTAATCTAAAAAAACATTTTCATGTGCACTCGCTGCATTTCGTTAGACTATGCTTATACGATGAACTCAACGCATATATTGTCTATACATGGACACGGTGAATATCTAATGGCTTATTGGTGGAAATATCAATAACTTTTTAAGTAGAGTTGTACTTGTAAAAGTTGCTTAGGTACTTACATTAACGCTTAAAAATTGCTCATAAAAATGATTATCAATTATCGAGACTTACATTAACAACTAACAGTCATTCACGTATCGAAAAATACTTTGTACGTAACATTTCTCTTGTATCTAATTTGCTCCTAATTCATAGTTGGTTGCCTTAATGAGAGAAATAACAAATATGGAAAACCAGAAACTAACATTGGATTCGGACATTTTCATGACCACATGGTCTTTATAGGCATTCAAAATCCTATAAAACTCTAGTTCACATGAATTCCATAACCCATGAAACCACAGAGGATTGTCTCTTTCATAGGAGCCATCACCTGTCCCAGGTTGGATCCATGTCAGTGACTTGGTCATGTTGACTCAGTTTCGGCATCGACCGTGCAATTGCATCCAAATCCCCATCCCATGGACTCACCTCCACCTGACCACCACCCCCCACTCTGTTTATCGGCCAGATTGCCAGGAGGAAACTATTCAAAACGTTGCGTGCGGGAAGTGTCACCTTCCCAACGCCAATTGGGAAGAAATTTTTATGTGTCTCCTGTATATGTCTCGGTACATTAAGTATCTTGAATACAAGTAAATAAGTACTAAATAAATTATTTCAACTTGTATTATAACATTTAATATATCAGATCGTATTTTCAATATATTGAAAATCTCTCCCAAATGAAGGCAATGATCAGGAATGCTTAACTTTGAGCCACTATTATAGACAATCATAAAAAAAATACACGAGAAGAACTTACAATTATACATCGAAAACATTGTAGGGGGTAGAGTAGGGATGGTATCAAACAATAATATAGTATTATGTATTTTAATTTTCTTTTACAACAACGTGTAACTAACTTGGATATTGCTACATATGAAAATTTAGGAATACACATCTATCAATCAATAAATGAAAAATAAATCATGTATTGTATCAATTATAATCCGTTTAGCGGTATTTCAATTTTTATAATAATTTGTTAAAAGTTCTCAACAAGGTCTACTAAAGTCAACAAACAGATACATTCTCAATATCAACGAGAAACTTTACACAAATGAACCTGATCAAAATTTTTATATAAAAATCATTTTTGGAAACAATGATATATCAATAAATGAAAACTAAATTATGGTTTAGAAACACGATATGTTAACTAAACACAAATATTACTTTTGTTCATAATATCAGTTTCATCATTTATATTCACGACTCAGGCCGTTTTAAGTAAGTAAACATATAATTGCTTTACTTTTTTTTTTTTATAGTTTTAAGATAATAAATTTACAGCAGGGTCTAATTGTCACGTCCCGGTCCGGGGCCTCACCACGTCCCGGGCTCGACTCCGTCGTAGCATGATATTGTCCGTTTTGAGCCCTGACCACGCCCCTCATGATTTTGTTTCTGGGAACTCACATGAGAACTTCCCATCACCCATCATGAGATTGCTCTCGCGCGAACTCGCTTAACTTCGGAGTTCCTACAGAACCCGAATACAGTGAGCTCCCAAAAGGCTTCGTGATAGGTAGAGATGAGAATATACATATAAGGCTTACATGATCCACTCCTCTGGACGATGTGGGATGTCACACTAATTCTATATGTGAATATTACCAATTAATTTGAATGAAAATACAATAAAATATTGTTCGAGTGTGCTTAGGTGTCAGAGGCAGTGAGGGAGAGGAAATTTTTCATTGTGACTGGAACATAGGAGGTTCATCATGTGTTTTTATATAAGTGGTGGAAAATTTTATTTTTTAAGTTATTTAACTTTTTAATACACATATCTCATCATTTGTATAATGACACATAATGTATCATCCCGTGTGCCGATCATACTAAAAAATCTCTCGCGAGGGAGAGAATTGCACACATACACACACGCTAGTATGATCAGTACAAGGAGTGATACACCTTGTATCACTATACAAATAATAAAATATATATATTAAAAAGTTAATAACTTAAAAAATAAAATTTCTCACGTAAACACGTAATGCAGCTCCCGTTCCGGTCACTATCACAAATTTATCTCACAAGTGCAAGGCGGAAGGAAGGGGAAGGCAAAATCAAAAAATGAAAATCCATTATCTTCTTTGAGGGAGAGAGATAGGGTTGGACTCTTGAAACTTGGAAGTTGAAAACTTTGTCATGCCCAAATCAAACTAAGACACCCCAAATCCGGGCCAGCTTTCACGGATTCTTCTCCACCTCAACACCTTCTTCTGCTTGTCTTTAATCTCTTGGTGAAAAAAAAAAAAAATTGCTTCAATTATTGGCAGGTGGTGGTGGATTAAAGTTTGAATATTTAAGCGTTTGAACTCAAAATCTCATCTGGGAATTGGGCAGTTTTCTATTTTCTTCCCATTGGGGTTATTGCAGTTCTTGGTAAGATTTTCTATTTCTTCCCATTAATTTTTTTTTTGTGTTTCTTTTTATTTAAATTTGGTAGTTTTTGGTTGAGAAAGTGTAATTTTTGTTGAATTCTTGAATTGGGTTTTGGAGTATGCAATTTGTAGTGTTCAATTTTCATTTCCTGAAAGTGTTTTTGTAAAAATGAGCTGAAGAATGCCATGAAAATTGAAAAGTAAAAGCAGCTTCTGGATTTTGCTTCTGAGTTTTTTCCACTTTTTGTTGCATCTTACCTGGAAATAATCACTACCAAGTACCAATCTTGTTTTCTTCCGCTTTACAATAATTTATTGTTGCAGGGATCTTCACTGTGCATTGTAGTTTTTAGGGATTCTCAAAAGCACTTGGAAGTTGTTTGATCTGATAATTTTACCTTTTTGATAAATCATGTGAAGCACAAGACTATTATATGCTTTTTTAGGCTTCATGCTGAGAAAACAAGGCAACTACTTTTACTCTCTGTGCAAATTTTCTTATTTTCCAAAGGCACGAGGGAATTGTTGTTAAGATTTTCTTCACACGCAAATTAGGCATTTTTTACTTCTTTTGATTGGTTTTGTTTCTCAAGTAAACTTCTTTTTTCTCCAATTACTTCTGTTAATAGTTTTGATAGGTTTTATTGTGAATAGGAAATACCGTTGTAACGGCAAACTGCTATGGAATCATTGCTTATAACTTCCGTTCGAGAAAGATCTTGGTGACCAATGACCGTGATAAAATTGGAACTGCTCGTATATTCTGTCATTATCTCTTGTAGAATCTAAGATAATTGGTGTAGGTTTAGGGGTGGAGTGGTAATGAATCAAGAGGTGTTCTACTAAACAAGGAATTAGATCTCATTGTTTCATTTGTTAGATTATATGATGGGATTTTGGGCTTTAAAATCCAATTTTAAAGCCTTTCTGACAATTCACAAATCTGTTCTGAAGTTTTGCAAGTAGGATATCGGATTTTAAAGCCTTTCTAACAATTCACAATTCTGTTCTGAAGTTTTGCAAGTAGGTATCGTATCCCTTTCTCACCCGTAATCCTACCTCAAACTCTTCCGAATGCACGAGTTTATGTTTTTTCACGTGCCTAAAGTTTAATTCAATGCTATTATATGGCTTTCTTGAAACTGTAGATTGGCATCTTTATTTCATGCCTTTTTCTGACAAATACCTTGCTTTCCATTACATCAACTACATGCATATCGTTGAAAGAAAATTATGCAGAACACTAAACTTCCGATGGGGGAATGACAGGGTAATTTAATTGACACTTGAGGAAAGTGACACAATTCGGGAAAAATACCATGATATTGATCCCAATCTGAGAGTACCAGCTTTGACATTTGAAGAAGAAACATGTCTCCTGGAGGTCGCTTCTGTGAAGATGTGACCGAGTCTTGTATGGCATTTGCAGATACTGATGTTGCAACTTCCACTGCTGATCTAAGGGCTTCCCCTTTCAGAAAAGCTGCTGCTGGTTTGATTGGAAATCCTGGACTGCCACCAAATAGTAATGTGCATGATCTACTCGAGTGTCCTGTTTGCATGAGTTTAATGTGTCCTACAATTCACCAGGTATGTCTTAATATTTGTTTAAATTTAAATGATCAAGAAGGATTCCATGCTTCTTTTAATAGGAATATGTCTTTTCTTTTGGTCGAAGAATAAGAAAAATCCTGCAATTGATGCTAATAGGGTTTTAAGCATCTGGTAGTTCTATAAAGTTATACAATTGAAATTTAAAGGTCTTTATGCCGCCACAACTATACACAACTCGAAAACATTCACAAAGTTGTAAATCTCAAAAAACTTGAACTCCAAAACTGGATTTCTTAAGAACTGCCTACTCATCGAATGTGAAGGATCAATTGAGAAATACTCTCATACACCATCTAGCATAATGATACACCATCCTATCTTGAACATCATTATATGGTCTTCAGATTCGATTGCATGCACATAGGTTTTAATATACATGTTCTAAGATATTATTTTTGTCGAGAGAACTTATTGAAGCTTATATTGTATATTGTAGTGTCCAAATGGCCATACTCTTTGCTCGAGCTGTAAGGTCAGAGTGCACAACTGTTGCCCCACTTGTCGAAACGAACTTGGAAATATAAGGTGCTTGGCACTGGAGAAAGTAGCAGAGTCTCTGGATCTTCCTTGTAGATACCAAATTTATGGTTGCCAAGATATATTCCCATACTACAGCAAGCTAAAGCATGAGAAAATCTGTAACTATCGTCCGTACAGCTGCCCTTATGCTGGAGCTGAATGTTCTGTCACTGGAGATATCCAATTTCTTATGATGCATCTTAAAAATGATCACAAGGTCGACATGCATGACGGGAGTACTTTCAACCACAGATATGTTAAATCCAATCCCCAAGAAGTTGAAAACGCTACATGGATGTTGACAGTATGTTTCTCTCCCTCTCTCTCTACATGTATATCCTACATACACACATACAGAAATTGCATTTCTATAAACAATCTTGTCAAGGGAATTGCATCTTTTAAGTATCACGAAAAAACTTGATACAGTATTTTCTTCTCTTACCAGTCAACGTGCCTTTGTTGATTTCAGGACAACGTATTTCTTTAAAACTTTCGATTCTTTAGTAAATTTTTGTAAAGGCTGTGGGAAATTCCCTAGTCCAGCGTCTGAATCATCAAAGACCTACTGACATAGCTAAATTTGAAATTCTCCTTCTTTCTTAATCCCCGACGAAAGGACAAATTGCTGTCTTTTGCTATGACTTCTTTGTTTCTGTTATCATATCACGTATTTAATTTCTAAGTAGAAAAAGCGGTACAAATGTTGCAGTCTCATAAGTATCTTTTTGGAATGAACAATCATAAAACAAAATCGATCTTCTCATATTTGATTCTGTTCAACCTCTACCAATGTATTCATACCCATTTTTGACTTTGAATGTAGTGCAGATTTTCAACTGTTTTGGCCGTCAGTTTTGCTTGCATTTTGAGGCATTCCACATTGGAACCGCACCGGTTTACATGGCATTCCTAAGGTTCATGGGCGATGATGATGAGGCGAAGCAATTCACTTATAGTCTTGAAGTCAGTGGCAGTGGTAGAAAGCTCATGTGGCAAGGAATTCCTCGGAGTATCCGAGATAGCCACCGAAAGGTCCGTGACAGTCAAGACGGACTAATTATTCAGAGGAACTTAGCACTCTTCTTCTCGGGTGGTAGTAGGCAGGAGCTGAAGCTGAAAGTCGCCGGCCGTATATGGAAAGAACACTGAGATATAAAAACTAGAAACTTGTTCAAAGATGTTGTAACCTTTTACTGCGAAAAATAAAAAGGTTGGAAGGAATTGAGGGAGCTCTATGTAAAAGGCCGGATATTTTTTGTGCTTGATAAAATTTATTGAAGATCTCTATTGTTGAGTCTTGATGTGCATCTCCTGTGTTCTTCTGTCGGCACGTAAAACGCAAGACTTGTAACTCAAGTTGTTAAGAGCATTTATCGTTGAACTCTACATTTGGTATTCGATCTCTCTCCCCGTATTGTTTTATACACTAGGATAATGTTGTTTTTGACCATCTTGATCTTCCATACGACAACGGTGGATGATTATCAACTGTTGATGTATGTAGGAGACTAGTCGATGAATGATGATCAATTAATGTATGTGGAAGACATGGAGACTGTGATTGGCAACCAAAAACCTCGATAACAAATTGCTTTTGAACATTGGAGTGTTGGTATCTGTGATTTTGTTGATCACATTACTAAAGGAAGGATATAGTATTTGGTCGCCCACCCCATGTATGTACTTCCGAACACAAGAACTTCATCTACCCCCTCCCTCAATTAAAAACAAGGGGTATGATATTCACACACCACTTTTTACTTCTCTCACATCTTTTCAGTTTTCGGGCGTCGGATTAGATGAATTGAAGAAGATCAACGGACATAAATTAATAAGGGTGTGAGAGAAGTAAAAAGAGGTGTGTGGATAGCACACCCCAAAAACATTAGAGATTGTGAGCGTCCCACTACTAGTTACCGCCATTAGATGGAATTTGAGTGACATAGATTGTGCTTATTTACTTTTAACTAAAAGATTGTGTCATTAAGCTGGAGTGTAAGTGATAAAATGAAAAAAGTAGAAGACAATCTCACATTCGAATTGGATTAAAGTTTTATTTCCAAATGGGACTGCGAGCGTGCTACTACTAGTTACCGCTAGTAGATAGAATTTGAGTGATAGAGATTTCTCTGATTTGACTTTTAATCAAAATATTTGTCACTGAGTGAGGGTCAATCCATCAGGAAGAGATCCCATCCGAATCTCTCACATCAAGTCCTAGGAATCCTAAGATCTGGACTCTTGAAATTTGATTCAACCGTTACAATTATTACAACTTTTAAAATGATCTATTGTTTGTAGTCATTTAATCAAATTTCAAAGATCCGGATTTTCGGTGAAAGAGATGCGGATGGGATCTCTTCCCCAATCCATCATCACCAGAGCCCAAACCCTACGCCCATCCACAAAATACGGTGGTCACCTCCTTCGCTTAAACCCTAAACCCTGCGAACCTCTCTCTCTCCCCTCCAATCTCAAAATAAAAGAAAGACATGCTACTGATAGCTCGAACGCACTCTCTCTCTAAGCTCAAACCCCTCCTTTCTCTCTCCCTCCTCGCCCAATCCTTCCCAGCCCAAACCCCCTATTCAAATTTCCCTTCATTCCCAAAACCCCACCTCCAAATTCCCACAAATTCTCAATCTTTACCATTTTCCACCATTTTCTTCCACCCATTTTCTTCGTCTCAATCCTTGCCCTTTAACCGCGAAGGAAATTACGATGAAACTACCGCCGGAGCTCGCCACGTCTGCCGTGGGTGTGGAGTTCACATGCAGGATTCCGACCCCAAACACCCCGGATTCTTCCTCAAGCCCTCGAAAAAGGATCCGAGGACGTATCGGTTGGGGACCCATCTCGAGCACGTTGGTCAAGTGCCGGAATTCAATGACTCTCTCAAAAGGGGTCTCATAATCGAGCCCGAAAACTTGAGTTCTGAGGCCGATTTGGTGGGAGTCAAGGTCGAAAAGCCGGTGGTCTGCGCACGGTGTCATTCTCTGAGGCATTACGGGAAAGTGAAGGATCTGACGGTGGAGAATTTACTACCGGATTTTGACTTTGATCATACGGTTGGGAGGAAGTTAGCTTTGACGTCGGGGACCCGATCAGTGGTGCTAATGGTGGTGGATGCCGCAGACTTCGATGGATCGTTTCCTAAAAAGGTTGCCAAGTTGGTTTCGGATACAATTGAGGAGCATTTCACAGCTTGGAAACAGGGGAAATCAGGGAATGTGCCGAGAGTGGTGCTTGTGGTGACAAAGATTGATCTTTTGCCGAGTTCGTTGTCGCCCACGAGGTTAGAGCATTGGGTTAGGACAAGAGCAAGGGAGGGCGGAGCGAGTAAGATAACGAGTGTGCATTTGGTGAGTTCTGTGAGGGATTGGGGGTTGAAGAATCTTGTTGATGATGTTACTAGCTTGGCAGGGCCGAGAGGGAATGTGTGGGCAGTAGGGGCGCAGAATGCCGGGAAGAGTACACTGATAAATGCGATAGGGAAGCATGTTGGAGGGAAGATTACGCATCTGACAGAAGCGCCAGTTCCCGGAACAACATTGGGAATTGTTAGAGTGGAAGGTGTTCTTCCTGGTCATACCAAGTTGTTTGATACTCCCGGGCTTTTGAATCCTCATCAGATTACGACTAGGTTGACAAGAGAGGAACAAAGTCTTGTCAACATTAGCAAGGAGTTGAGACCGAGGACGTACAGGATCAAGGTAAGCTTACTTGAGCATCAAGTACCTTATAGTGATTTCTTGATTTCGTTACCACCAATTACAAAGGTGAAGTGGTAAAGTACCTGTTGATTTCATGTATAACTGGATATGTAGTCTTGAATTTGGAGGAATGTGCAGTTATAGCTTTTGGGTATTCGTATTTGGTTATTTAATCTTCTGAACTTTGAGTAGATCACTGTGTTAACTCACGGTAATGTGTTTCTTCCAATGCGAATAAATTTAATAACACATACCATGTTAATAGATAGAATCAAAAAGCTCAAATTTTGTTACTATTACTAAGCACCCGTTGTTTCAATTGTGTAAGCATGATCTTGCCTTATAGTATCGTTTAGCTTGTGGTTTGGTTTGTCTTTGTACACATCAACCAGCTTGAGTTCAACAACAATTGGAACTACCTCAACAATTTGATAAATATACCGATTTCTGGGCTGCATGAAAAATCCAGTAACCAATTGTGTTCAGACCCTTATTTATTGAGTTAATGTCTCACTAGAAAGTTGATTGCGTGACAGTATTGGACGCTCATGTACCATTGATAAGTACTCTCTTTTGCTACTTTTTGGGTTATGTTCAAATGCATAGTTCATTGTCGATCTTAGAATGTCTGTTGCAAATTTAGGTTCAATGTGATCTGTTAATATTTGTTCCATTTATCATAGCTAATATTTCTTGTCCTTTGGCTGTTACAGGATGGGTATTCAGTTCATATCGCTGGGCTTATGAGGCTGGATATAGAAGAATCATCCGTAGATTCTGTTTATGTTACTGTATGGGCATCTCCTTATCTTCCACTACACATGGGAAAAACCGAAAATGCATGCACAATGATAGAGGAACATTTTGGTCGTCAATTGCAGGTATTAACACTAGTTGACGAGTGATAATTCTCCAAAGTCTTGGTTTTCTATCTAATAGTCATTAGTCTTAATGTCTTATTAATTGTTCTGATGCCAAAATGTCCTCCTTGTTTTAGCCACCAATTGGAGAGAATAGAGTTAAGGAGCTTGGGCAGTGGGTGAGAAAGGAATTTCGAATCAGCGGAAACAGTTGGGATTCAAGTTCGGTGGATATTGCTGCTGCAGGTCTTGGTTGGTTTGCTGTTGGACTTAAAGGAGAGGCAGTTTTGAGTGTTTGGACGTATGATGGTATCGACATTGTTCTTCGCAATGCATTACTTCCTCACAGATCATACATTTTTGAAGAAGCTGGGTTTACCGTCTCTAAGATTGTTTCCAAGGCTGACCGAGCTTCAAATAAGCCACAACACAAAAGTGAGAAGAAGAGGAAACAAAGCGACCAGAAGGAATCTGTTCCCTGCTGATTCAAACTTATTAACTGAAGCAGATTCAAATTATTTTTACGACTGGAAGTGTTAGCTAGGAAAACAGAAAGTTCTTATGACAAAGGAAAACCGGAGTTTTGACAATTTACGATTGATGATACTACAGGTACAGGTGATGAGGAATATCCAGTAAGCAACATCAACCTTTTATAGGAATGAAAAATCTAGGCATGTTATTGAGCCCCCGACAAAGCCGTTGATACTTCCTCCGACCATGGAAGGAAGGGGTGGATGTTCCATATTGGGATGATCTTTCTGCAGTACTGATATTTAAGAACGACAGCTCAAAGGCGGGGTTTTTTACTGGCCTCCGAACTATAGGAAAAGACAGCTTGCAAAAGGGCTTTTGTGACTGTAAGTATACAAGCCTTGTGCTGAATTTCTTATTCATTATTCTTCTTTCTGTAAATTGCAAGTCTGATCAGTTTATGAGCTGTTCTGGTATGAAGTTAGTCGTGATTCTGTACTGGTTTTCATAATTATGGCAAAAGGGCCAAAATTTAATGCAATAATTCTTGTGTTCACAATAAACCATAGAACTACTGACTAATCCGCAGTGGCGGAAAGCAACCATGCCAACGCACCTTGGTGCTGATTTGATTCCCACCAATCCCCCTCCCTCCTAACAATTAACAATTTAACCCAATCGTCTGTTGAAAAAATGCAGTTTCGGGTAGGGGTGACAATTTTCCTTGCGGTTCGGGTCCAAATGTGTCGGATATGAAGAATGTAAATCGGGTACAGGGATAGGTTCGGAGAAATTTCTAGGGTTGGTGTTCGGGGCGAGGAGGGGACTCCAGCAATATGCCAAACAAAATATCATTCAAAACTCATCGTATCATGAAAACCTACAGCCTAACTCAGGCAGCCTTCTTGATTATCTACAACTTGCCCACAAGACTTATCATACCGTGTACCCATGTCATGCAAGTCCCTCTCTTCTAGCTCGGTAATGGTTTGGAACTGGAGCTATACCTCACGTACGTGGGATCATATGGTACTGCTCGGCCATTGATAAAAGGTTCACCTGCCAAACCAAACAACAAGAAACCAGACAATCACGTACGCATTCTTGTGAACTAGTTGAAAACAACGCAGATACTGATACGCAGTGTACAAAAACAAAGACGCCTTTCAAGACGCAGTTCTTGAAGAATTGGAATTTCGTAACGGAAATTCACTAAATATTATTCATAATCACTATACCTGAAAACTTGCAAGGACCAAAGATTTCTTCAGATACAAGCAACACAAGAAACTGGCTAGTTCATCAGTACTACTATGAGTAGTAGAGAACCGTTTGATTGACGGTTTGCCTCCGGAAATGAACTTGGGCAAGTACTTTATCGAGAAACATTTATTCCAAGTCACAACATATAGCCATTTTAAATATCTTTCTTTGATTCCAATTTCAAAACACAAAATCCGTTTTATTAGTTATATCTTATAACATCAATCGACTAATAGGAAAACTTTCATCTAGAGCATTCTACAGCCTCAGACTATCCCATCCAACCCAAAGAAAGAAAGAACCAAATAAAAAAATGAAAGCATCAGATTACATGAGAGCATGAACATCGTGAAGTCACACCCATCATCGAGCCGCGACCTCGTCGTCGATGTGGTCCCCAAGCACCTGACGAATAAAGTAGGAGAAAGCCTATTGGCGGAGGCTATGACTCCAGCGAGGTGATGGAGGCGGTGGAGGAGATGAGAAAGAGGAGCGAGATTGGGCCCCTGGATAGGGAAGCTGCGGAGGTGGCGGTGAAGGAGAGCAAGCGACAGAGAATTGAAGCCATTGTCCATGGGTACGATTTTGGAAACTAGCCGTACATTTCATGTTCATTTCAAAACGGCGGGGTCTTCATGCCATAACACGCCTTCATCGACAAGGTCGTGGAGCCAAGGGACTCATTCTACACGTGGGGCGAAGAAATCCACCATCTTTGAGCAGGACAAAGGGGATCCACCCATCACGTGCGTGTATAAGCCCACTTCTTGACTCTGAACTCTGAAACTATGTAGAACTATAAAAGAGACGGGTCAAAAGACCACTTCCAAAAATACCGATATTGTCCTTAAATTACTACCAGCATAATCTGTTAGGTGTGGTTTTATCACAAAATGCCTTGATATTACTAAGCCAACTTTTGCTCCAAGAGGTTGTATCTCTCCTTCTCACGTTCTCTATGCAGATGACTTATTCATTTTCTGTAGAAGTGATGGTGTCACTCTGCGTAATTTGCAAGGTTTCTTCGATAGATATAGTAGAGCCTCTGGTCAATTTATCAATAAGGCAAAAAGTACTTTCTACCATCGTAAAGCTGTGGTTGAGAGTTACTTGGGTTTCAAAGAAGGCAAAGCACCTTTTGTCTACTTAGGAGTTCCAATCTTCTGTGGCAAGCCTAAAAGGAGTTATCTTCAAGCCTTGGCAGATAAAGCTAAAGCTAAGTTAACTGGTTGGAAGGGGAAACTTTTATCTATGGCAGGAAGAGTTCAACTCACTCAATCAGTTTTTCAAGTATGCTCTTGCATAACTTTTCTGTTTATAAATGGCCTTCTTCCTTGCTAAGGCCTCTTTCAAGATGTGCTCGCAATTTTATATGGTCTGGTGACGTAACCTCCAAGAAGTCTGTTACCGTTTCTTGGCGTCAGATATGTGCTCCGAAGAATGAAGGTGGTTTGGGTTTGCGTGATCTTGGCTCTCTTAACACTACTGCTCTCTTAAAGCTTGGATGGCTTATTATTACTACTGATTCCCCTTGGAGTATTTATCTTCGGGAACGTTTCAAGCTACATGGTCGCCTATATTCTTGTAGTTATAAGCGATCTTCTATATGGCCTGGTATTAAATCCATTCTTCATATCTTGTTTCAGAATTGTCGTTGGGTGATTGGAAATGGTTCTACTACTTCCCTTTGGGTTGATAAATGGCTGGATAAGCCTATTGTGGACGTCGTTGGTGCAACAGAGATTGCTCCTTCTTTATCTCGTACTAAGGTCTCAAATATTATTCGTATGAGAAAATGGGTTATTCCTTCTATTTTTTCTTCTACTTTCCCAGACCTAACTAATGAGATTTTAGAAATGCCTCTTCCAATTGATGAGGATAAGGACGTTTTAATTTGGGAAGTTTCTACTTCTGGTGTTTTTTCGTTCTCCGATGGCTATGAAATTGTTCGTCATCGGTTTCCTGTTAAGAGTTGGGCTTCCATTATCTGGCGTCCTTTCATCCCACCTCGTTACTCTATTTTAGTTTGGAAGATTCTATTCAACAAGCTCCCAACGGAGGATCAACTTCAGCGCCGAGGCATCCCGCTGGCTCCAATATGCCAACTATGTCACAAGAATTCTGAATCTATTGACCACTTATTTTCTAGCTGTGAATTTGCACAATGTGCTTGGCGTTGGCTAGCTACCCAATTTGGCACTATTATTCCACCTACGGGCTCCCTCTCTGATCTATGGCTTGTTTTTCTGTCAAAGCGGTTTTCTCCACATCTTCGCAATGTCTGGATAGCTTCAGGGTTTTTCTTACTAATGGCTATTTGGAAGATGCGTAATAAAGTGAAGTTTGAAGGCAAACCTCCCTCCTTCTCACGTCTCTGCCGCTCCACCTCGGCCTGGATTAGGCAGGTTGGAGCTCTCACCCCTGGCCATGTACGAGGCATTTTGGATAGGCAACTTTTAGTTTCTCTTGGAATATCGCCTAACTCCTGTAAAGCTCCTTCTATTGTCCCTGTTCTTTGGCTCCCCCCTCATTTTTCTTGGGTTAAAGTGAATACTGATGGCCTTGCTAAAGGTAATCCGGGTCCTGCGGCATGTGGCGGGGTTTTTCGTGACTCTGCAGGTTATTTTCTTGGTGGTTTCTCCCTAAGCTTGGGCCATCGTACTTCTTTCTATGCGGAGCTCCATGCTGTCATCCTTGCTGTCGAATTAGCCCACGCGCGGGGCTGGCAAAATTTATGGCTTGAAAGCGACTCTTCTATTGTAATATCATGTTTTGCTTCTGGATCTTTCTCTCCCCCTTGGTCTCTCCAGACACGCTGGAACAATTGTACTCTTCATTTGCAGAACATGGTTTTTCGTTGCTCTCATATTTTTCGAGAAGGGAATGTTGTTGCTGACAAATTAGCCAATTTAGGGCTTCTATCATCTTCACTTGTTTGGCATTCCACTCCCCCTATAGAGATCCTTCCTCCTCTGCACTCAGATTTCTTGGGCATGCCAACCTACAGGTTTGTCTCCTCTTCTTGAGGTGTGTTCTCCTTTCTTTTCCTAACCTTTTTGGATTCCCTTTTGTTTTGCAGCTTGTCTTGCAGGTTATTACCTTTTAGGTTTATAGAGGGGTTTGGGCTTATGTCCGCCCAGTCTTTTCCTTGTATTTTCTTTTCCAAGAGGGGTACGGTCTATGTCCCCCCCCCCCCTCTTTTGTATTTCCTTTCTCAAAAGGGGTAAGGTGCATGTCCCCCCTTTTTTGTATTTCTTTTATCTTGTTCTATGAGGGGTTAGGTTTATGTCCCCCCCTGTCTAGGTGTATCTTCTTTTTTCTTATCAATAAATTTTCCTCGTACCGCCGAGGTTCTCCAAAAAAAAAAAAAAAAAAAAAAAAAAAAAAAATTTCAAAACATCCTTGTGTGACCAAAAATTTTCACGATATGACGCGCCTTCTTCCTTGTGTGGGCAAGAATTTTCACTATAGAAGACGAAATCGATCAACGACCGGATGCAGTGTTCATACTATGGAAGCATTCAGAAGGATGCTAAGGATATAAATTGATGTGCAAACGCAGGGAGAGAAAAGGAAACGGGATTTGATATATTTTCTTGGATGTCTCTACTATATCAGAAAGAAAGAGGTGAAGAGGCTAAAAAAGTAGAACGAAAAAAAGAAAGAAAACTCGGAAGAGTTCAGATGTGCTCAATTTTTTGAAACCCTAAACCCAGTAACATAAGCGATCATATTTGTTGACCAAAAAAAAAAAAAACGACCATGTTCACCAAAAAATGCTGCGGCCTTGGGCTGGAACCACGGCCATGCTTCTCATGTTAAGACGATGATCTTGAAACCAATCCAAACTTGAGCAAAAATGTCACATGGAAAGAAGCATAATAAACCTAGTTAATATGGGATTGTTTTGTAGTATCAGAACTGTTTTGAATACAAAACCTAGTTAAGTTTACCGAAAAAAAAAACATAACATTGTTAGAATGGCCTCATTTTGAGGACCCATGAGGTGCTTTTTCATATAAGTCCTTAAATTAATCTTATGATAGCTTAAATTATCAACTTAAATCATTCTTGTTGCACTGAAACATAATAATTATGTGAGATGAATAAATTTAAAAAGAACTCTCGCGTTAAACATTCCGTCTTCTTCTTCTATCGTCTCTCCACATCTCCTTCCTCCCTCTATCCCTCTCTCTCGATTGTTCATCCCCTTCTCTCATCCTGACTATTTTATTTTTTTCCTTTTCGCGTATGACAAAGAATGAAGAACCTGTTTCAAAATTTCCACTGTCGTCGGAAAATTTTATATAAAAAAGGGTTCACGCGTTCAAGAAGAAAGGGATCCCAAATTACGAAACCACACAATCTCAAAATTTTTGGTTCTTTGTAACTAATTGGTTTGAATTAGTATTGATAAAAGATGGGATGAAATTGAATGTGTAAAATTATTAGGGTTTATGCAATTGCATTTGCTGAGTTTAGATATTTGATGAGGAGATTATGTTTTGCAAATGGAAGAGATTCAATATTTCATGAAACCTTCTTCTCTCTTCTTATTCTTTTGTTTTAGGAATTAGTATTTTATTTTTGTGCAATAGAAATTATTAAAGTCGATATTTAATTGACACACCCCGACCCGAAGTCCATGTCTAAAATACAAATTTACTAAAATATCCTCAAGTTTCATAATTTCGTAAAATCTTCACCGTAACTCTGATTTCAATTCCGCTTGCACCCACGCATTCGTAGCGACGAGTACTACAAGAATACACTGAAAGAATGGTTCATGAGTCCCAAAACACAAAGGTCAATGAAAGTCAACATTCTAGCTTCTAGGGCCATTTTGGTCAATTCATTCCTTTAGTAATAAAATATCGTTAAATTTGGGACGGGTCCTAACATTAATTTACTGTAAAATTAATCTAATGCTCATATAAAAAATGACCTCACAGGTTTTCAAAATGAGGACTTTAGAATGGCAGCTCTAAGTATATGAATATTGTCTTTAACACTTACAATTGAACAAGGAAATATAGTAGGTTTTCTATCTAGAAGAATCATATTTATTGTTAACATATAAATAGTGTGACGACCCGTCCCGAATAATTATATATTTTTATCCTTGAATGTGAAATGATGATTATGCCCTCGAGGCTTAATGACGTGGATGTACGTGTATAGTTTTAAATTATTATTTTTCCACTAATGTGATCAAATTGAGTTCGTAACGGAAATGTTACGAACAAATAGGAGTAGATGAATAAGTTTTGGTTTCACACTTAATCTACCAATCATTTTCTTTTCCTACAACCTTGGACCAATTGTTAGGCCCTAATTCCATAGCCCAATCAAAGCTTTGTTTCTTTTATTTATGCCTAATCCCGTAACACACACATACACTCACACGTGCAAACCTTCTCTTTCTCTCTTCTCTCTTCTCGACTCTTCTCCCTTGTCTGTACGATTTGAGCCTTAAACTCTCAAACACCATCCAAACTTCATCGATCGAGCTTGAGCTTTGCACCAACGTGTTTCTGGTGACTTCATGAACCCATCCATACCATTGGATCAAAGAACGGATCACGAGAACCCGAGAACCTAGGAGCTCCGACGTGGTGCTCTGTTGCTCCGTCGTGATCGTGGTTATTTCATGGAGTTTTAAAGCTTAAGGGAGTCTTAAAACTACTCCATAGAGACCTGTGAACAATTTTTGGAAAGGTTTTGGACGTCGGGATAGGCCAGT